ATTTATCCAGTTTCATAAATAAAGTAATGCTTCTTCAGCACTTCACAAAAATAGTTCCTCAAATAATTTACCAGTGGGAAATCTGAAATGATGGAAAATAAAGCCTGATCAAAGTCCAAAGAAGTATTCATCTAACAAGGTAATAGGAATTTAAAATTCTGCTCCAGTTCTGTTCCGGTTCTAATCTTCCTGCAATTTTTAGCAATCTGAATGAGTATGCTGAAGTAATTATTCTTTCATCCACATTTAAGTTAATACCCAGTATTAAAGAGTTTTAGTCTGTTCATATTGGAATGAACACTGTGCTTGTGCAGCAACATTTTTTCAGGTGCTCGAATATTACGGTTCTGAGTCTTCGATAAAACCACATGATCCAGCTTATAGTGGATACATGTTGGCTTTTCTTCTTTAGGGAGAGTACACTATAGGTCAGGTGACTCTGACTACACTACATATATCTGGGTGGTTGTTGCAGAAGATGTGATCATGGCCAAATCTTTGACAATGAAAATAAATCATGGTATTTTTATCCTCTCTGTAAAGTTCAATTCTAACATGCTGATGCAAAATCGTCTTCTGTAAGTCGACGCTTCTGCCTTTATCTTCTCTTTTCATTGAAAAAGTGAAAAATACCGAAAGCTTTATCACATCTTGAGTTTCCTCGATAAACTGAATAACTTTTACCACACAAAATCCTTTGGCAATGAGTTCCGTCTCAGTTTTCTTGGGATCAGAATTATGTGATACAGATAACAACCTTGATAGGTGTATCCACTTTGTTTCAAAAAGTGCTGAAAGGAAAATCTTTCTTGAGAAACAAACTTAGCACCACTTTTCAGTTTTGACTGGAATCAAAGAAATAATTTTATCTCTGGTAAATGTTTCAGTAAATCCTTGTATTCATGCTCAGAGAAAAGGCTTCATATCTCTTTCCAAATGACCTCCAGTCTCAGATAAGTAGCAGATCTTTTTTTTATACTGTTCTGTTATAAGGATTGGATTCAGAAATGTATGTATGCATGCAGTGGCGAACAGGGGCAGCTGGGCAGATACCCGGTGGGTGGAGTGATCTCGGGCTGATCAAAAAAGTCGAAAGATCGAATAGACACAGATGACTCGGCGAGACAGTCCTGCATGTGAGGCAGACATGGATGTGCAGACCGCATATCACACTGAAACTCACATGAGATATGGTAGCTGTAGGGTAGGGGTAGAGAAGAACCTATAGTTGACAATTGTAAAGTACATTTATGAAAATACAGTTCTAATTTAATTGTGAAATTGAAAATATTTCATTATAACTGTAATTAAAAGAGACTCTAGTATACTTGCACTCAAGTACTTGTACTGCTTCCAGCGCTATACAAAATGCCCAGATACGACAAATGGCAAAATCTATTTTCGATAAAATATCAACTTTTAGAATAATTTTGTCTGCTCACGCATATTTGAAAATATTTCAATATAATAAGCCAGTAATGAAGTATTTGCAGACTAAAGGATTAGATTATGATTTTCAAAATTTGTGTCTTTTGTGTATATAAATTACTCTTGAAATAAAATTTATATAGCAATGCATAAGATAATGCCCTTTTTTTTTTTTTTTTTTTTTTTTTTTTTGCTGCAGAAGTTTGTACTTACCATATCTATAATGCAAGTTGAACATGGAAAAGCTTTTTCAAAATTAAAAACTATAAAATGTAAATTAAGGAATACTATGAAGCAAGCTAATTTCTGGTCAATGCTATTGATGAACATAGAGAGATAATATATAATGAATATAGAGAGCCAAAACAAGGATATTTTGGCTAAAGCAAAACTTGAAGATACGAGGAAATATTTGCTCAGGTGCCTGGAATTAAAAAATATTTAAATGGCTAATTATGATTCAAGCACTAGTTTGTTTATATAATTATCTAATCACTGTTGTTTATTGCTTGTAGTTTATTCGCATACACACACAAATATATATGAATAAAATATTACTTTTCTGCAAAGGTATATTTTTATTTTATAAAATTATTATTATGATGATGACAATGATAACTTATATGCATAATAACATTTCATATGGAATGTTAGGGTGGCAAATTTTTTTTTCCTGCCAGGCCTGATTTCTTTGGCCAATCCACCACTGAATGGATATATGTGTTCATGTATGCATGCATATATGTAAGTATGAATGTATGTGCATGCATACATATACACAAATATGTACATAAAATACATGCATACAATTCATACATTTTTTAATTCAGTCCTAATAACAGAAGAGTACCTCCTTTTCTAGTTCAGACAAGATGTCAGAATCATGTCTTCAGCTTCAAATTTTTCATTTTTATTCTTCGCATTCTATTTTATTATTTTAGGCATGTCATCCTTTAGGGTTTCAAACTAGTTATTTGTCACGGGTTCAGGAACATGAACCTGGGCTAACTTCTTGGCGAATTTTATGGGCATAATCCAATCTGCTTTTATGTTCAACTACAGTTGAGTAGATTCCAAGTCATTTTCCCTTGTGATAGCCAATTTAACAGACTTCTTGATTTTTTAATTTTTCTTTTTAGGTTGTGAAGGAGCAACTTCAGATTTTGTCTTCTTAAATGATCTACCATGATCTCTAAACTGATTACAATTAAGATTACGTTTGGCCATCAGGGTGAGAAAATCCCCTTCCCACTTTCATAGTTTAGTTTCATAGACAGGTTTTCCAGTACGCACCTGATGTTCTAAGCCCTTGATTGTTCTTAAGCAAAAGGAAGACCATGGCTTTTTCTTCATCTGCAGTATTGTCTTAATAATAACCAGATCTCTTAAGAACATATTTTGCAATACGACACAAACTTCATAGTCGACGGGCTTCCACTGAATCCCAAGTATCTCAATATTGATACTGGGAAAGTAGAACTTTCAACATGTAAAATTTATAGACAAAGTAGCGATGATGGTAATGAAAAATTTGAAGCAAGCTTACATGCTTCATTTTATAACAAATTTTTAGTTACAAGATGGTAATTAAAGCAACTCAAAGTGACAAGAAATGCTATTAAACCAACAATTGTTTTATCAGCAACAAGAAAATGCAAACTTCTCTTTATATTACCTTTGTAATTCTTTAAAAGGACAATTTTTTTATGATTACAGTAGGCACTGCTTAATATGATCAGAGTTAATATTTTCATTCACATACTGTTATTGAATTGGTGAAGTTCTAAGTTAAGGAACATGAAAAATACATTGCTTAGTATTGTGATCAACAATTCGGCTACTGCTATCAAAATAATGCAGAGCCGAGTTTTTAGCTGAAGTAAAAAAAGATAAAATCCCCAAATAAGGTAGAAACACAGTGTAGAAACTGGCAAATGGCAGAGATGTTGCTAAGTAATGGATTAAGTCACCAGGCAGTTTGGTTTAGATTTCAGACTATCATATGCAAAGGAGCCTTTTTTCTAAGTTTTAGGAAGTTCGATTGAATTAATTAGAATTAGTGAATAATGAAGCAGAATTCTACACAACCTTGCTTTTTGTGTCAAAATACCCAAAAATGTTCAAACAATGAGAGAAGAAGATATCTGCCAGCTGTTTTCTGAAACAAATCCAAAAACATCATGTAATAAATTTCTTGAAGAAAAGAATGGTGAATTTTCAACTAATTCTGAGATGAGGGATGCCCTATAAATATTAGATATATTCATAATAAATTAGTTAAATTCTATGGATATTTTGAAGGATTAAGACACAATAACATGCCGAACAAATATTAATTCAGAAGTCAAACAACAAAAATCAGCGTCATATTTTCCTAGTCCTGTGAAAATTTGAAAATATAACGCTGATTTTTGTTGTTGACTTCTGAATGTTGAAAGATAATTTTCTTATGATTAATGTTTAGATTTGGTGAACATATCAAAAAGTCCGGACAACCTGATCATATTAAATGGCACCTACAATAATGGTTAATCTAAGTATAAATGAGTCAAAAAACAAAAAAATCAATGTTATATTTCTAATTTTCAACTAGTTTCATGGTTTACCGAAAATCTTCAGCTGCTAAAGTGCAAATGAACGAGATAAGAAATGTAAAAGAATATAAGAATACTGGTGGAATTAAGCTACTGGGCATTATTGGTGAATAAGAAACTAGACCATAATTTCCTTAAAAGCTGAAAGTAAGATGCATTGAATTAGGTTGTTTCTAGAACAGAGACTTTTTTTGTTGAAATGCGTCGAAAATTAATTCCTAATGGAACATGAACGGGCTAACTCTTGGCGAATTTTATGGCATAATCGATCTTTTTTATGTTCAACTAAGAGTGAGTAGATCCGAGTCATTTTCCCTTGTGATAGCCAATTTAACCGACTTCCTCGATTTTTTATTTTTGATTTCTTTTTTTTTTTTTTTTTTTAATTTTTTGAATAATTTTGGCTACAGAAAAATGGAAAGTGTGATTTTCGGACCAACATTGCTGCACTTTGGCAGTTGAAGATGATGGTTCGGAACTAGTCCTGTGAAAATTTGCAAATATTATAATGCTGATTTTTGTTGTTTGACTTATTAATATTATTTTTCTATTTAAGAAATCTGGCAACCCTAGTTATTACTGATGCATTACCACTAAAATATAAAAAGGCAGAATAAAAATATACTGTAAGAATCAACGTATACTTTTATGAATGGCAGTACATATTGTTATTATAAAAGTTGTATGAATATTTGAAAATGTTGCCAAAAAATTAATTTGGTTGAATTACTAATGCAACTCTTTAAAAAAACAATTAGAAATTATATATATATTAATTTTGCTTAATGTATGCATGAAATAATTATGTTATTTCTATAGTTAAAGATTTATTTCCTTTGAGAATGGAGGGGAATAACTCTCAAATTTTTAAAAAGAAATTTTAATTTTGAAAGCATCATTTAAAAATTCTCTTTAAATAAATTATATTTCTTTAAATGAATCATTTATAATATACAGATTAACAAAAAGAAAATGCACCTTATCATTTGTTTTATTCCAAAATCACTGTTATCAGGTTCGGTAAAAATGATATTGTTTTCATTACAGTAAATTATTTCTGCCAATGTAGCACTTTTGATGGCAAGTACCACTTTATGTGCATATAAGCTTGTCCCACAAGGTGTTCTAAATTCCACATCAAAATGCATCTTCTGTTCATAAAAATACTGAAGAGAAGCTTCAACATTAAATGCAGAATGTCTGTCCTTTTCTGAAAAGTAAAGAAAAATATGTACACTGTAATTAAGGAAATTTAAAAATATGATACAAAAAGCATTCCGAAATTAAATACAGGTACAGTACAACTCCAATTATCTGAACTCCAACTATCTAAATCGCTGATTATCCGAATCGTTTTCAGAATCAATAGAAGAAGAGAAGGAACAGGAGAAAAAGGAAAAAGAAGCTCAAAGGAAAGGGAAGAGACAGGAGAAGAGGATGATGTGTTATTTAAGAATTTAAGAAACATTCTTTTGCAAATTGCTCGATGTTCAGAAGTTAATGCTGAGGATACAGCAAAATGGATGGTGTGCGATTCGTCAGACTCTGGGTTTCAAATTCTAAATGATGAACTTATTGAATGTGTGAGAGAAGAAAGTTGTCGAGGTAGAAGATGATCTTACTGTCGAAGTTGAAGCAGACACAGAAAAAAATGGTATGCATATGCAACTTCTCATTGTCTAGCGAATGTGCAACTTGGCCCGAAAGTAGATGAAGACAGTCACGCAGCTCACTTTGATTGAGATGTTGAGCAAGCAATGACTTTCAGTACTTATAAGTACTGTACCGTACGTTATATAACAGGTATGTCAAAGTGTTGACTTTTCATTTTAATTTAAACCTCTTTTTCTTTAAAAGGTTTTTTTTTTTTTTTTTTTTTTTTTTTTTTTTTTTTTTCCATTTTCAACACAGAGTAGATACAATAATTAATTAAAGTGCATGTAGACCCTTTCTTCAGAAAAAAATCAATTCATCCGAATTTTTGATTATCCAAATGGTGTCCAGTCCCAATTCATTCCGTTAATTGGAGTTCTACTTTATTATAATCATTAAAATATAAATGAAAAATAAAATTGATCAATACTATCATTACAAATATAAAAGATACACGACAAGCTTGAATTTTATCAGCTGTTAAAATCTAACTTTTAATATAAACTTCTAATAAAAATATTCAATGTATTTTAAGACATTAATAGCAAGGCAAAACCATTACATCTTACAGTCAAAATAAAATTATATTAAGGATTAAAAATAAGTTTATTGCAATTGATTCCCCCCCCTTTTCAAATGAACAGCTGAATGATTTTTCTCTCAAACTGACTCAGCATTTCATTTGATGATTGGTTGTTTGTTTGGCCACTGGAAAATCAGTTAATGAGCTAACAACACTGCTACAATGTACATAAAGTTTTTTTTTTAAGGATCTCCATTAATTTTCTGTAATGTTCTGAAAAGATGCCAATATTATAAAATATGAGAAAAACTGCTTTAGATAAAGTCAGTATTAGGATATCAGAATACATTAATGATTAATTTATCTTCTTACACCATCTAAATTGATTTATGTTTTTAAGAAGTCAGTTCTTAATCTTCTAATGAGTTAAATGATGCCTCTTTCAATTTTACTAAACACTTATGTTGTTACGATGACCTAAATTCTTCTACTTACAAAACATAAATGAAAATTAGCAGTAAAGTGGAATTACTGAATAATATAAAATATCTACATTTGTATCAATTTTTTATTTGCCAATGATGCTAGTGATAGCAAAATCCATTGATTATTAATCAACATTATAAAAATTACTCTTTATATCTCCTATTTTATTTAATTTTAATTACACAGTTTTATTGTTTTAGTTACTAATGAAATGATTCTAACAGTGGTAAAATGTGATATAGCAAATCAGTGATCTTGTGCTGAGCAGAAAACAGAATTCAGTACAACTGAAAAGTTTACTTTAATCTCTTCATTAAAAGAACTTTTTCATGTGCTTTCACAGATGACCCAGTAAATGTAAACAATACTAAAAATCAATTCACTTGTTTGATGGTAATAAATGTTCCTCTTTCTTTCTGCTTTCTTTTATAGCTGTTTGTAATTTGCACATTGCAATACCCAACTTATCATTAATCTTTGCTATATTCGCACATATAATGTAGTCTTTACTTATAGTAGTCTTATTGATTTCTTGTTTTGTGATTTTTAATTCATGAATAGATAGAATTATTTTAGGAATTAGTCAAGGAAGGAAAGGATCAGAAATGGGGCTTCAGTGATTCAAGACATATTCAAAGGGCTTAGTATGAAATTATGCCACAGCAGAAGTAGCACAGGCATGTTCTATTGCTGTCAGACTCATGTTCATTTCTTGCTTACAAAAGATGAACTAGCATTCCAGGCAAAAGGTACTTGATTCAATTAAACTAAACTTTTTTCTGAAAAAGTTACTCTTGCTCACATATATTTTTTCTTGGGAAGAAAGTTACAAAAATGCTATTTTACAAAATAGCGTAGAAAATCAAGTGACTTCACTCACAAGATAGCAACTGACATTTATATTGCAGACAACTGATTATCAAAATGATACTACATGGAATCAAATCAATGAAGACTGTTTATGTGGTTTTGCAGAATAAAAACTAAGTAAATGAGAAGTGGAAAAAGAAACAACAATCTAGGGAAAATTATGGATGGAACACAGACAGTTAAGATGTTTCAGTGACAAAAAAAAAAGGCTTTCACCTGATAATTTGTCCAGCAAACAGCAGATCATTGGAGACTCTGCATACCACTAATTAAAAAGTATGTGGCAGATGAAACAATAATTATTACCAACCAATAGCTGGCATACTCATCACACAGGCACAGGTACTGTGTGCCTCAGACTCTTACTCATTTGACAAATCCTGCAGATAAAATCGTGCACGTATCCAGCTAATAGAACTTTACTGGACGCTTCTGTAAGTGTCATTATAAAAAAGTACCGCTGAAAAGAGAATCTGTCTGATCATTTATTGAAATACGTGTTTTGATATAAAAAGAAGATATTTGCATATTATCACAACCACCTTAGTAGAAATCATCAAAGCTTCAGACTAACTAAGCTTGGTAACTATGTCCATCACAAGTATTCAGTTTTCAATTTTGGCATTTTCGAATGCATTCTTTTTGCTGTATTCCAAGTTCCAATAGATAATCCAATTCTAGATAAATTACGATTATGTTTTGTCATAAAAATGTTTTTAAAATCTGCACTTTTGGAATTTTCCTATAGCAGAAGAAACAAATGTGAAATATTTGAAATTTCCTTTAGTTATTTAGTTGCAAAATCGCTCGAAAAATAATGCTTCGAACCCTTTTTTAAAGCAATAGCTACAAAACTTCCACCATAACAAAAACTCATTTGTAACTAGGTTTACTGATTCTTTTTTGGAATAAATATGTAGTTGAAAGTAAAATATGTATGTATCTATATACACTTTTTTAAAATAAAAATAATCGCTAAGTTGACGTTTCATTTATGGTAACCTGAGCACTTGAATGTCATGGAAACCCTGTTATGATGTAATCATATTAATTATTAGAATTTGAATGATGGGAAAAGATTTGTAAGGTTGTTTGTGCGTTGGATGTTGGTTAAGAAGTACGTTGGTTATTTTGTGGTTTAAACGGTAAAATGGCTGAATGTGGTAAGATTAATTTGAAGTTCCGGTATGATTTGCAACAAAAGGCAAAATAAGCATTAACTGAGTGGTGTGTAAATAAAGGTTTACTTAGTAGGCATTATAAGCGTCCTGTTTGTATGAAGGAAATGCATATGATCGAACGTTGGACGATACCTTTGGATGATATTTTTTACTCTTATTTTTGTGAATTTATGTGGCGACGACAGTATACACATTCTAAATCAGATAATTTTAAGAAGTTTTTGGATGTTGTTAAGGAATTTTGTTTGACTAAATAAGTGGATATTTCCTTTAAATAATGCTAAGATGAATTTCCTTTTTTATGTTATTTCATTGTTTGATTTAAAATGTAGTTTACTGAAATTATATATTTTGTGTTTGGCTCTAGTGTAGAATTGGCTGCTCCTTTGATTTTTTAAGTGAAAATAGATCATGGATCATGTGTACAAAGTCAAGGGAGTGCGCAGTGCCAAGTTTGCGTAATTCTCTGTTTTTTTAGGTGAAAATAGAGAAAAATATATTTACAGGTGCTCCTTGGCAATAAATTTGCAATTTTTGGTTGTACACGGACATGAAGTTTTTGCAATTCTTTGACTTGTTATTTTGGCTTTGTGTAGTGGCGATTTTGTGACCAAAAATCCGCCACTACATAAATCCAAAACAACAAGACAAAGAATTGCACAAGCTCGTTATCCATCTACACATCAACCTATTTGCAGTGACAAAAAAATCACAGAATTCCACAAACTAGGCATTGAACACTCCCTTGACTTTGTCCACATACATATCGATCTATATTTACTTAAAAAGTCAAAGGAGCAGCCAACAAAAAATACATAATCTCAATAAACTACATTTTAAATCAAGCAATGAAGTAACATAAAAAAGGAAATTCCTCTTAGGGAAGCACTTCCGCAGAGAACCTGGTAAATGTAAACATCGCCAACTTTGGCGATAATAGTTCAACATGGACCTACTAATTCATGTATTCGCTTGTGCGAAGTTGTCGTTGTTTCGCATTTGGAGATTATATTATTCTTCTCTATTTATTGTTATTTTTTCTGAATTTTTAACAATGAATAGATAGAAATATTTTCGCAAATAAAGAAGTTTTTGTCGAAGATGATGGTTCTAGGCTGTCAGTTCGGGATCAAAGGAAGAAATATGGCGGGAGGGGTAAGCTATTTGTAACATGCTGTTCACGTTGTTCTTAATTATTACAGCTTAAGCAGCAGAACATGAGGTTTCCAATCTAAAATATTTTAAATGTATAAAAGTTCTAGTTTATTACTTAACAATGCTACTGAAGAAATTTCATATGTTGAGGTTATTGTTGAAATATATTATGAAAAGGACAGGTATTGCTGCAACGTAAAATGCTTTAAGCTGTATGCAAGTAACTTGAAAAAAAATACTGAAAACATGTAAAATGGATGTATAAAGGTCATGCCATTAATTTTATTACATGGGCGGCTCTTACGAAATACATCAATCAACAGGACCAAGTACTAATAATGA